GGGGGGGTAAAATGATTTTGCCAGGGGGGGGTCTGGAAATCGATTCTATCTAGTGTAAAACCAGTCTCCGAAAAAAGTGAGGACTAAAAAAAAAAGGTCCTCACTTTTTGAAATCGATTCTATCTAGTGTAAAACAGTCGAAATTCCACAATGGGGGTCTAAAATTTTGCCAAAGGGTGTCAAAAAACAAGTGAAGACCTAAAAAAAAAAAAAGGTCCTCACTTTTGAAAATCGATTATATCTAGTGTCAAATTTTCCAAATCGCTGGGAGGGGGTCCACATTTTGGAATCCTAGAGGGGGGTAAAACCGGAATATCCCCCCCTTGCACACGTCTGTTTTAGGTAGACAATAAAACACTATATACGAACGAACATTTTCCCAAACGGGCGAACACGAGTGAACGCGAACAAAATTTTTGCCAAAATTTACCAACGAACATGAACCGAACATTACAATTTTTTAACGAACGAACGCTCTTCGCTAGAATCCAGGAGGGCAACATAAGCGTACAGCACTGATATACTGCTTACAGCGCCGAGTACTCCCGCCGTGGTGAGAAACTAAAACACACCAATAACCAATATTAATATTCACGATCATCAAATTGTTCATACTAAATTTTATCCACTTTAGGCACTCATAACCACTCATAACAATAAAATTCTTGATTATTAGAATCACATATCAAGTTTCCATGCTAACTCAAAATCAAATCGGGAAAATTAAAAGTAAATTCGGCAATTCGACGAATTACCGAACGTTTTTTTTGTTTTCGGCAAAATGTCGAACTATCAACAATGTTTGAAAAATGTTGGTAAAATGGCATTGGTAATTTTGAATTCACTGGAAAAACCGTATGTATTGTTTGTCAATTAAACAACAAATGAGCGAGCGAGAGAAGGAACCACAAATATCACCAAAAACTCAATTCGAAAAAAAAACTTTCATTTGTGTGCATATTAAACGTCAAAATGTATACATTTTTTGCTGTTGATTTTTTTTTATCTCACTCCATGCTATGGTAGAAATTCACTCACATCGGATTCCATTTTCACAGGAATTCAACACTGCCATTGATGCGATTCACATGATAAATTATCTGAATTTATCAAAATATCCGATCGAACAAATGCAGAAAGACCGATTTGGAGTAAACGAAAAATGTAAACAGAGACGAACTGTCATCACGAAATTCGGGCTAGTTTCGATGTTTGACAAGACCGTAACGCAACTGCGCGAATCACTTTGTGCGAATTACTTGTTATTAATTCGGGCAAGTGTATTGGCAATGCTTTATAATGTTAAATGAGTCCAGATTTTGTAATGACAGTTCGTTTCTGTTTACATTTTTCGTTTACTCCAAATCGGTCTTTCTGCATTTGTTCGATCGGATATTTTGATAAATTCAGATAATTTATCATGTGAATTGCATCAATGGCAGTGTTAAATTGCAATTGAGTGTGTTTCGCCACTCATTGGATGCTCCGCATCAGTAAGCATATGGCCTTAAGAGTAATGAAGAGTCGCTTGGAATTCTTTCAAATAAAATGAACCTGTCATTTCCAAGACAAGTTTTGAAGTATTGTAGCTTTCGAACAATGCAATTCATGGATATAATGCAGAGAGTAAAATAAGAAATCTTTCTGACTACCGAAATTTTTTGTTGAGTACCATTTTTTTCATAGTGTTTTATTAGATTTAATATTTGGTTTTTCGTACATCAAAATCTAAGGGGATTTATCTCTCGCGAATGCTGCGAATGCATTCGCATTTCAGAACAAAAATTCGAATGTTTGCGAATGCGACGAATGCGGCTATGACAGCGAACTTGTGAGAACGTTCGAGAACAGCGAAATACGACTGCTATACGAATGCGAGTGCGAATGTTTACATAGAAATCATATGGCAGCGTTGCAAATGCATGGCACTGAGTGCGAATTTGTGAATAAAAGTTCGAATGCCAAACCGACATAGAAGCCCCTAAATCAAAATGTATATAAATTTCATCATAAATTGTAATGAATGTGAAATGAATTTAGGAAATTCAAGACAAATCATGAATTTAGAATCAAAAATGCTGTTTCCATCGTTATTAGTTTCATCGTCGTCATCTTCTTCAACTTTGCATGCTCACGCTTCCGAGAAAACTCCCTTAAATACGAAACTATTGGTCAGGAAATCAGAAAGAGCAACCAAAGTGTTTGTACGGACATCAGCTACATTCATTGGCGCTCGATGCGTCCTACATCCGAATATTCCAGATTTGAGCTCAATTGAATTGAAGAAAACTTGGTCTTCATCCTCTTTACGCACCAATTTTCAAGCTAAATTCCTTTCAAAACCTCCTGGACTTTGGTTATTCTGCATGCCATTCAAAGATCTTAGCGTTGAGTCGATGTGCGATTTCATTGCGATTAGTGTCAATTCATCCGATTGGAGTTGCTTCTGAAGCCGACTGAAGATGAATATAAACAAATCAAAGTCTAGAGAACTCTGTAACCGAAGAAATGTATTTTGCAGAATTGATATGATGATTCAATTCTTACTTGTTCTCCAAAATATCAAAACTGTTTGTATTTATCAGCTGATGAATGTGTTTTTCTCTACTTTCTCTTTCTCTCTCTTCGGATCTGATGTGAAAAATCGGTATTGTTTTTGTATTTGTCACATTCATTTGGACTACCGAAAATACAATTTTCGACTACCGAAATGAAATCTTGACCACCGGTTTTGTGCTTGAATCACGCTTATTTTACTCCCTGATATATAATTTGAATATATTCATATTGTGTTCATGAACACTATTGAGAAACAACTGTGAATAATGCATTATTTCCTCGTTTTTATTGCCGATATGTGGATGATTGCTATCATCGAAATGGATAAGTTAAACTTTGGTTTTGTGACGCAAATAAATTTGAGCTAAAATTTTATTATACTATTCGAAATCAAGAATTTCTCCTTTGAGAACGGAATGACTTAAATGGAAGTGTGTTTATTCATTAGCAGCATTTGATTTTAGATGACATATTTTGACATAAAAATTTCGATATAAAAAAGAAACATAAAAAAAGATAGCAATTTTAATTGAAAATTAAAATTATAAGCTTTTGATTTAAAAAAAAAATATCGATCAGGAAGTTTCAGTTACAAGATTCAATATGTTAAAAATGTTTTTATATCTCTACTATGAATCAATTGCAAGAACTGCTTCCAAAATGAGAATGGCCGCGCTGTAAGTTTTTTCTCGGTTCTGCGCGGTGTGAATTTGTAGAAAACGACACCTGCAAGGGAAATAGGTAAAGTATTAGCAAATATTGCTCTAAAATATCGAGTCGAATATCTGAATAGAATGTTATTTCCGGTTGAATAAATTGAACAGTAAGGTAACAACAAAAGTAAATTGTGATGATATCTCTGGACATTTGAGTCAAACCACACGAGCCAAATAATATCATTGGCTCTAAAAATCGCATACCTGTCGGATTGATGCGTACTTTAAAATCGGCGTAGGGTTGTTGGATGACAAACGAATGGTGTTCGTTAAATAGATCCTGGCAAATATTCGGTTTGGTAAAATAATTGTCGATTGTAACAAAGGAAAAGATAACTTACAGTGACATGGTAACCGGGTTTGTGTGTCAATCCCAAATCGGTTAAATTGTACGAAATTACGAATGGGATGCCATCGTCTCGTGTGTTCGTCCAAGCAATCGCATACGAATGTGCGCCATATACGACGGGTGTTATTGGTCGAATCCAGCACTATGTGCGAGATAATGGTTTTATTCATTCGAAATGGCACATGAATGCATGTTTCTACGTTACCTGAATCCCTTGTTCATACCGCACGAGAAGACCCTGAATTCCCAATTCATCTTGGTTGACGGCAATGATTTGTTTGTTGAGTAAAATGGCTTTGAATTCGGGTCGAATTTGTTTCAAATCGGTTGACAGAAGCAATGGCGCAGCTAATACGGCCCAAATGGCCATTTGCATTTTACTCTGATCCAATGACAAACCAAAATTCCCAATAATTAACTGGAAACACACAAAGAGGAGTTAAAAAAATTTGATTTTATGGTTACGATGGGTCATAATAACCATATCCGGATCATTCCAATGTCCTCTGCCAGCATGCGGCTGGATTCGTGACTGATTGGCGGCAAAATAGCGTACAATTCCCGAAAATGATTCATATGAGTCCTGGATATCTTCCCAATTTCGCCATAAATTACAATGCATTTTTAACAATTCGTAGTTTGGCTATGGAGGGAATGGAGCGGGTGAGATTAAGAGAAAAGTGGAATCAATGAACAAAAAAATCGTTCAAAAAGAGATAAAAACGGGGAAAAAGATATGAAAATTTCAAAATAAAAAAACAAAAACAACATCGAACAAAATTCGTTAACATCAATCAAACGTTATGATAAAGTGAATCAAAAACAAAATGAAAACGAAGCAAATTGCTTCAAGTCATAAAATGTGTTCGATTTAATTCGTCATAATTTGCGATGAGCAACGAATAATCGTTTGCGTTTGCAATTTTGATTGAATTCTTTCGATTTGACCCACCAGCAAACCTTCGCCCTCTTGATAAGCGGGCCAACTGCATGAATAGACCATGGGCCGTCCGGTTGCATTCAATAACCGACCAAATTCCGGATAGCCCACATCCATTTGGCGATAGTCAGCGTAGCATCCGTCCAATTTTACATAGTCAATTTGCCATCGTGCAAATGTTTTTGCATCCAATTCCATGTGATCAATAATTCCCGGGTAGCCGGCACATGTTTTTGTGCCATAGTCCTGATAGATGCCAATCTTTAAGCCTTTATCATGAATCTACAACAATTAAAAACACAAACAGCTAATTAGACGTAATCATGATTACGGTCTGGATTTTGTGTAACTGACGTAATCGGCTAGAGCTTTAATTCCGCTGGGAAATCGCATTCGATCCGCCACTAGTTCATTCGTGATTGGGTCACGCTTTTCTTCCAACCAACAATCATCAATTATCACATATTCATAACCAGCCGCTTTGTATCCATTCGCAACCATGAGATCGGCCATCGTTTTTATCAATCGCTCGCTGAATTTGCATCCGCAAGTTACATTTATTGTTAAAGCGGCGACAAAAAAAAAATTGGAGATAATACCGGGAGATATGAAAAAATTGGATAAAATGGAAACATGAGAGACAAAATGTGATTGGTTTATATGAAAAAAAGGTAAAACGTATAAAACGAGAAACTGGTAAAAAAAACGTCCACATAATCCAATCAAAATTAAAAGAGACAAAAAAAGAACGAAATTTGACAGAACAAAAGAAATTAATCAATTAAAAAATTCCGGAAAAACATGATAAAACGAACGAAATTGCCAATAAAATACCTGATGCAGTCATCGGGATACAAATGACAATCTACAGTGCAGCGATATCGTTCCCACGATAGCCAACCCATCGGTGGTGTTAACGCCAGTCCATTGTCTAGCGCCTCGACGGTGAAAAATAGCCAACCGACCACAACACAACCAACAATATACCACAAATATACCCATGAATACTGCATTTTTAACAAGATTTACTGCTGTTTTTTTGTTTACTGCATCGAATTTAATCAATTTTCAAGCGAAAAAAAAATCGGAATATTTGAACAGTTTCAATTTTGTACCTGAATCCGATTAAATTTAGACAAACATTGAAAACGTGAGCACCTTCCTAACGACAAAAAAATGTACGAACTAAACGAATATTTTTGCACCAAATCCCATGTACCCTATAAAAACCGTGTTTTATGGACAACTGAACAACAGACACATTCAACAGGCCATTTAAATATTTAATTCCATTTCATTGCGCAATTTGTTTCACACTCTAAATTAGCAATTATTCGGTTTGCACGAAATGCAAACGATAAAAAAGAAGAAGCATAAACAGCGACACAAAATAATTTAATATGAGCAATTGATGACCAATAAAGTGATGCTAAACTTTTTTTCTCGATTTTTTCTCGTTTTTAGCTTGTTTCGGATGTTGAACTTGACATTGTGGAGTGTTGGCGCAGTAGAAGTTTACTGGCTCATCAGACAGCTAATAGGCAGTGTATGCAATAAACACCTGATCAAACAATCCAATCCACTTTCAGCTCGTTTATGCAACAACTGTTTTCAGCTACTCTCATTAGTAGAGTGTAGAAAATGTTGCGAAAAAAAGAGTCGGTAGATGTCTGCTCTGGAATATTTATACATGAAAATGAAAAATAATATTTCAATTCAATCGTTTGAGTTTTTTTTAGTTTAAATAAAGCCAAATGATATCATCATATACATTTTAAGACTTTGATAACATTCCCCTTCCATATCTATTCGAATTGATGCGTACTTGAAAACCGATCAGACCCTGATAAAGTTTCGGATCAATGTGCTTGTGATTTGAGACCATTTTTGAAATTAAAGGCGATATTTTAGCTTTGAACTTAACATTTGATGAGCGTGATATTGATTATGTGAATTAAATGTTATTTCTATGTCACTTTTCGAACACGTGGCGATCGATGTGTGAGTTAAACACGAATAGTATCAAATATGTACAGTGTACACATAAATATGGATTTTTAGTCGCTGACTGAATCTGGCACGAGTTAACGTATTTAAACATCGCTGTTCAAGGTATATTCTTTAATGAAAAGACGAAACAATTTTTACTTTTTTACACTTTTGTTGAGTTTATTCCTCATTTATATATTATTTCTGGAGCAATGCTCCCTTCGTCAGTGAAAATATTGAAAAAAAAGCAAAGCAAAAAATTAAATAATTTTCAAATGACTCTTCGTTTAAATTTAACTTGATTTTACTTGAAAATAATCGTTTTGAAAATCGAATTTTTGATTGGCCCTTCATTTTCATTCATCAAATGTCCATAGTATTTGTTAACTTTCTGTATTAATTTAAAATGTTCTAAATCTGTTTTGTGGCCCTTTTCTAACATATGTATATTCTTTATGATTAGACCAAGCCACGATTGTTTAGATAGTTGCACATGAATAAATCATGATTTGTCTCCAAAAAAACACCCCTAAGCCTGACATATAGGAAAAACTATTCAACAATTCATACAAAGATTTAAAGCGGAATAAAAATCGATGGAAATAATTGTTAACATTGCGAATGGAATAATTGAACACAATTCCAAGCCTCGCACCTGTTTTAGTAGATTTTCCATGAAATTTCAACGGCTAATATTCAAATTAAAACAATGTGGTTTGCTATTGCGACTAGATTTGATTGGGAAATGAAAATTATTTTTGAATACATGTATATGATCAAGTCGATGGATTCAAATGATTTAACCTTACGTGTCATACAGTTGAACTGTAGTTGCATATAAAAAAAACGTTCGAATAAACAAAAATGACTATGCTGCGTTTTTAATGTTTTCATCTGTTAAATGCTGAGAAACCTCTTAACCACACTCGCTGATAATACTGGTGCCAATTTAAGCGATCTGCTTGGCACACTTTCGAACGGCACTTCTGCTAATGCCACCGTTGATCTTGGTTCACTTCTTGGTAAACTTCTTGCTTAATGAAAATTGGCCAATTCCAAAGCACAATATGCCATTTTCGTTTAACAAATTCCACCATTTCTGGCACTAATAACAACCGGCGAATTCCAAATTCAATTTATTTCGACTTTTATATTTAAAAAGAAAAAAACAACATATTTTCTTACATGTATGTATTACTACTATGAACCATTTATCTTCTTCCATGTAAATTTGAACACTTTAAATTATTTCCTTATTTATTTCAATTTATGAATAAATTCCCATCAATTGCATCAAAAATAACTTCTTTATTTTACTTTATATTAGCTCCCTACACATTTGGTTGGATCCCTAGGGGGATTTAACTACGTGAAAACTTGTAAAAAAATGATATAAACGCGCATGAAATTGTTTCATTCACCAGAGAACTTGCATGATTCCACTCAGTTGACAAGTTCCGTATTAAAACAACATGCGCGAACTTGTGCGAGTTCGTGTGCAAACATGAAGCTGGACGACGCGCACACATCAGTCGTTCCATTTGTTATATCTATCTGGATTAACTTTTTCTTCCAACACTTTCTCCAGCTCTTTAAAAATATTTCCTTTGTCCATTTTATAATTATATAAATCTTTGAACTTTTGGAAAGGATGTGAAAAATCTTTATACACGTAAACAACCGATTTTTAGTTTGTAACGCGTTTTAGTTGTCAAATAACAACTTGAAAAACGCGCAAAACCATAAACAAACTTGTGTAAACTTGTGACCGTGCGCGTCAGTACGTACAACGAACGCGTCGAACTTCCGCGAATCAAGCAAACTGGCAGAAAACATGCTGAACTCGTAAGAGTTAAATTCCCCTAGTTGGATCCATTCTAAAACATTTATCAATACAAATACAGAGAAATTTTGAATCTCCAAATTTCAAAGTTTGATAAAACTAAGAAAAAAAAACAAAAATGTTTCCCGTTTTTTCTTCGATTTTTTTTCTCGTCGATTTTTCAATGGCTCTGTTGGCGATAGAGGACATAGTAGTATGTTTACATGACTCGATTTGTTGCGGTAAGGTGGACAAAGTTGTAGTATACTCGAGGTCTTGTACAGACAGTCAAATGTCTGTCATTAGACTGTCACTAGATAGGCACGAATTGATAGTTGTACCATAGCGGAGTAAAAACCTAGCTCCACTTTGCAAGTTCAGTTCATTATAATGAACATACTCGCCTTTAACCATTTTTCGAGTCAAAAGAAATTTACTCACCTCTTCGTTAACAAAGTCAGTGAAATATCATCTCTTAATGATTGAGACTTAGATCCTGATAGCGAGACAAGTATAAAATAGAGTCTAGTTACATTGAATACACCGTACAACACATCCTCTCACACATGGACGCTTTAAATGCAGGATGTTAGGGGACCTAAAAACAAACAAAACTGCATACTACGATTTCTCCGTTGACGTGGTAATAAGAAAAATATCGACCTATCAAATATTTCGTGTGGGCTGGGATTTTTAGACTTTTATATCATCATGTTTTGGTCATTAACTCAACTATTAATGATGTTATTGACTTGAAATCTTTTTTCATTTCATAGAAAAGAGTCAAAAAAATAAATTCCGTTGAAAAAATATGCCAAAAAATCATCTTTGGCTGGTTTTTTTGACCAAAATATCGAAAAAAGGCCATTTTTACTAGTTTTTTGACCAAAACGCGCACGGTTTTTCATTTTTCCTAATTATTGTGCTACCAAAACTGTAGCCAGAGATGAAACAAATATTTTTCCATCAAATACTAACCCAAAATACCATATCTAGTTGACTTGCATACTACATAACCGCTTACTGATCTCTATCCGTGAAACCAACCAAAAATCAAAAATATCAATTTCGGGTTTTCTGTTTATTTTTCCGGATAATTTTATTGAAAATGGTTCAAAACTACAAGAAACACTTAAAATGATACGATTATAATGATTTTTGACTATGCTTCTTCAGATTTTTCCGGATAAATTGTACAAGTACTTGGCATTGTCATTTTTGAAGGATTTTTTCCGTACCCAATTGTCCGATGCAAAAATTGAAGCAGGTGAATATTAATTATACAGAAAAACATTTAAAAAAAAGTAATTTCCAGAGATTGCATGCACCATACAGCTATAGTTGGATGCGAAAATAAGTAGCTATTTTTAGTCAATAGTATAAATTGGATTTTTTGAAGTAGAGGGCAAACGTTATATATGGATTTGTCTCTTTTTCATTGATTGAACGTTTGGATACCACTTCCAATAGCACGTTTGGATCCAATTGATCGTTCAGAATAATTCGGAACAAATTGTGCGGTAGCTGCCATTTCAAAATATCCCGAACTATTGACTAAAAAAAGCTACTTATATTCGCATCCAACTATAGCTGTGTGGTGCATGCAATCTCTGGTAATTTGTCATAAAACAAATGTACTCTCAATGCCCAGGTACACTGAATGGTCCACAAACTAGACAGCTTTTGGGATGCTCCGAATTATCTGATCTATTAACTCCTATCCAAAAGAGGGCATTTGAAGGAATTCGCGATGTCTGCAATAACTTTTTGGGAAACAACAGAGCAGAGAATTATAAAAAAATTGTTGCTGAAATGTTGACTGCATTCAAAGAAATGAAAGTGAATATGTCATTAAAAATTCACTTCATGTACAGCCACTTGAGCTTTTTTCCTGACAATTGCGGTGACTACAGCGATGAGCAAGGTGAACGTTTTCACCAAGATATTGCTGTGATTGAAAAACGCTTTAAATGTAAAAATTCTGCCCATATGTTAGGTGAATACTGCTGGTCGATTTGTCGAGACACAGATCCCAATCAGCACAAACGAAAAAGCGATCGACAATTTTTTTTAACTATGTAAAAATCATTATAATCGTATCATTTTAAGTGTTTCTTGTAGTTTTGAACCATTTTCAATAAAATTATCCGGAAAAATAAACAGAAAACCCGAAATTGATATTTTTGATTGGTTTCACGGATAGAGATCAGTAAGCGGTTATGTAGTATGCAAGTCAACTAGATATGGTATTTTGGGTTAGTATTTGATGGAAAAATATTTGTTTCATCTCTGGCTACAGTTTTGGTAGCACAATAATTAGGAAAAATGAAAAACCGTGCGCGTTTTGGTCAAAAAACTAGTAAAAATGGCCTTTTTTCGATATTTTGGTCAAAAAAACCAGCCAAAGATGATTTTTTGGCATATTTTTTCAACGGAATTTATTTTTTTGACTCTTTTCTATGAAATGAAAAAAGATTTCAAGTCAATGACATCATTAATAGTTGAGTTAATGACCAAAACATGATGATATAAAAGTCTAAAAATCCCAGCCCACACAAAATATTTGATAGGTCGATATTTTTCTTATTACCACGTCAACGGAGAAATCGTAGTATGCAGTTTTGTTTGTTTTTAGGTCCCCTAACATCCTGCATTTAAAGTGTCCATGTGTGAGAGCAAAAGTTGAAATTTGTTGTACGGTGATATCATATAGTTTTGACAATAAGTTTCTAATATAAGTTTTGGTGCAAAAATGCAAATATTCTGCCAATATTCCTAGTAAATCGGTTGCCGAGCGTATTACACTGACTGAATACAACGCTTATGGAAGACCTAACAGGACCATTTTTTAAACAATAAACAATACATTCGTAAGTACAACATTGGCGATGCAATCTTTATGTAAGTTTTAGATTTGAGTTTTAAAAGCTTCGAGAAAAAAGCTTTTTGTTGATTTCGACCAATTACTGATGATGTCTATTGTGTTCATTATTTCATTCTTTCGTAGTATACTGAATAGCGAACTCTTTACATGGTTCGATCAGCTTAGAAATCACTTCAGTTATATATATATTTACTAACCAATCTGATTTATGTTCCTTTAAACTTCAATGCAAAACATATTCTTGTCTGTTAATAAGCCATGTATTACCTATATGCTTCATTTATTAACCAATCAACTACCAAGGTGCAATATTGGGATTTTAATGAAATTTTGTGTAGTTGCCATTTGACGGTCAAAAATGATTTTTCCGAAATTTTACATTCTAACCAAGTGAAATTTTCCGGCTTTTCTCGCATTTTCGGGGAAAATGGAAAATTGGAAAATTCTGAAAATTGATGGAAATCATCTTCGAATTGCATAACAATAACCCAACAAGGTTTCATCCAAAAATTCAAACTCGTTTAATAGGGAAAAATCATGAAAATTGTGTTCGAAAAATCGAACGCCAGTAGTAAATGGGTTAAGGCGCAATTCAGTTCTCCAATGAAGAAAAATGAGTAAATTTCATAGCAAAGAAAAGCATAAACACACAACGAATAACTGGAATTAACGAGTTATTTTATTGTTTTAGTCGAAATTGAACACTTTGTTGTATAATACATTGAAGAATTCGGGTCTTATTTACAAACAATATTTATATATATGAAATATTAAAATATCTTTGAAAGTTTTATGCACAATTTCTTGTTTTTTGCTTAAAACGGAATTTTGTTCCGTATGTTACACATTGGTTAATTTTTTTTTCTTCTTGAAAAGGAGAGAGATGAATAGGAAAAGGATTTCGAAGGAAAAAAAAATGCCACGTCTCAAAAAGAAAATTCTGAATTGCATAAAATTGATTTGAATTTCAAATGTTGCTATTTTATATGCTTAACTATTCTATGCTAATGGTAACCACTTGAATTTGGAATATGTACTCAGGTGAATTGGTGTCAGTGCCAGCGAATTCAAACACATTTTGCCTTTATCTCGAGTCAGTGCATGCGTATGCAAGAAAAGATTGTTGATTTATTGAAGGATTGACACGAATGGTGATTAACATTGCGCACGATGCAGCTCACGACGAACAGTTGATTTTTACATGAACTCTATGTGTGATGCAGGTTATGGAAAAAAAGGAGATATAACAACAATAACAACGAAAATTAACATAATTTTGATGATATGGTGATGCTGATGATGATGACATGCTGTACATAAACAGGAAAAAAAAAACACAAACACAGGCTGCGACCGATTTGAGGATGATGATAGTGTCATTTAGGAATTAGATAGCACCATTGCCAACAGTTATAATGTTGCGTCGTTTTCGATGCGGCGATTGGCGTCCTTGCACCGGTTTTAACAGTTGCCGAAAGTTAAATGGTCCTAAATATGACATCGAATCAGATGTTGCGATTAATGCGGGCAACTTGTGACGCGCACCATTACTCGGCCGCATCTCATTTTCCATTGAGTCCAACGAATTGAAACCATGGTCACTGTTATTGCTATTCGAACTGCTCACATTCGATGAACTGCCAGCTGAATGACTGCTTTTTTTTATCGGTGAAGAGAATGTGGTCAATGAAGAAGAAGAAGAGTAAAAATATGAACATGAATATGAATAAATAAATAGAGAACTGGAAGAAGAAGAAGAAGAAGAGGAGAAGGAAGAATGAAGGGTAGAGAGGGAGAACGAAGAAAAAACAAGAAAAAAAGAGAAAAAGTATGAAATATTGATGAAAATAAGACTCAAAACTGAACGAAAGTGTTCTTTTTATTCGGAAAAACGCAAGTTTTCGATTCAGAGCGGCTCAAAGCCTTTGGTTTTTCATGCAGCAAAAGAAGAATGTTTAATTGAGCAAAAAAACACGTTAAAAATTTTGAAAATCCGTGTGAATATTGAAAGAGGCATATTTGTTGGCTGAATGATGATGTTGAGCTTGGGCCATATTACCCAGTGGGGAATTTGCATCGTTTCCCACTTCCAGTTTACATTTTACATTTCCGCATGCCCAGCGTCGTGCGTTCAGTTTCATTTCTGCTTTTTTTCTCTCATTTCAATTCAATTTGGTTTTTTTTCCTGAATCCGAATTGCTGATGATAATAAATTGTTTTATTTTCCTTATGATGGCAGTTCCATCGATGGAAACTGACTCCATTTTTTATCTCAATCAATATACTTGTCACATTCTCTTGTGTGTGTGTGTTATAATTTAATCTATGGACGCCAATGTCATTCAAGCGCAAAAAAGCTTTTTATCCCTCTCAAAGACATGCATTTTTTCCCCACTCAATTCCAATTTGATTCACAAGTTTGGAAAAAAGGTCCCATATATATGAATAATGAAGCCGCTCCAAAATATACATAATGAATGTGTTTTACGAAAAAAAGAGAACATATCAATCATTCGAAAGTGATAAAAATGAATGCCAATCTATTCATTTCTAATGCTAAGCCACAAAGAAGTGAGAGAGAAAAAATGTTCAAGCAACGAACAAAAGGGGAGGAATAATGGTTCAAAAAAAAGGAGATGCGAAAAAAATTAGAAATAGAAAAAAAATGGGGCCTACCTTTTGTCGTGATTTTTATTGGCGGCATGTTTGCGATAGTGTGGTGTTGAATCGACGTCAAACATTTTTATGCGATTTTTGACATTGTAATTGATACAATGGAAAGGCAAGTGAAAATTATTGCTGCTACTTTTCGAGCTGGTTGTTTTGGTTGGTTTGTGTGTAACAATGCTGGTCGCATCTTCCATGCTCGCAAAACCCGTGTCATTCGTTAAATTGGTGGTCACATACGAATTGGGATAAATATCATTGCGATTGGGATCGACACTGTTCGTTGTACCGCTATTGATACGTTGACGCGAATCCGGATGGCATTTGATAAGTTTTTGGTGATGACGATGCTTATCAAAAGAGGCCATTGATGGTTCAACGGTGGTGGTGGTGGTGGTGGCCACGGTGATCGTACAATTTTTAATTTTATTATTATTATTCAATTCATTGTACTGCTTGCATTTGTTGTTGCGCATCAAGTTTGTGTCGCCGAAATGGCGATAAATCGGTGTCTTTGTTCGTTCATCATTGTATTGTTTACGGTTATTATTTCGGTCCACGTACCCATTCACCACCGAATCGTACGTGCAATTGTCGTATCGGCTACGATTTGTTATTGATGAGGATGCAGCGGCGGCGGCAGCAGCAGCTGCCACTGCCGTCGTTTTTGTGTCATCGACTAAATTCTGGTAATCATGATGTTGAATGACTCGTTTCGATGGTACAAATGGATGCGCTGTTTTATCGTTTGGGCGCGTCTTTATATCAATTTGTGCGGCATTGTTGGTGATTTTCTTTCGATTGTTGTCAACTCCACCGCCGCCACCACCGTTACCCCCATTTCTCATGCCGTTTAATGGTTTTTGTGTTGGTTGCGAATGCGACGGCGCTTTTCCATTGTTGTCGCTAGATCGTTGTCGTTGGTCATGAGCGCCGGCTTTTTGCTTCTGTATAAAATCCAGCAAACGACGACTTTGACTGGTACTGGTGGTGGTGGTAGTTTCAATGGCCGATGCTGCTGATGCTACTGCTGCACCACCCGATGATGCTGTCAATAACGGTGAATGATGATTGTACAGTTTGGTTGCTGGTGACGGTCGTGATTGTTCAATCGCTTTACTTTGGCTCTGATTACTACTACTGCTACTGCGATGCTTCGACGCAATTTCATTTTTACTCAATGCTTTATTCGCCGCCGCCGCCGATGATGATGATGACGATGAAGCAGACACTTTCATTTTATTTGTCATTTTCGATGACACAGCCGAATTTTTCCGCTTCGGTATTTTACTAAGGAGGGAAAAAGACACGCGAGAAAAAAATGAGAAAGAGAGAGAGAGAAAAAAAAGAGCAGACAATTGTAAATGACAATTTCTTTCGTTCTTTTTATGCTTCGGAATGGTGTGGTAATGTGTGAATGTGAGTTGGTGTGCATGTGTGAATAGAAATTGAAATCGAAACTTATATTGGCAATAAATGAAAAGCCACGTTTATTCAATTACCCCAAACACCCCGAATCGACATAAAATTTGTTTTCGTTCTTGGTTTGCTTCTGGCTGAAGAAGCGAATGTGTGCATGTGAATATTTCTTTTTTTTTCGGTGCGTCGTGCATATTTTTGATTGAGAAAAATTGGAAGGCGAAAATTAAATTTGGCCCGTTTCACGTCGATAATGTCGATGTTTGCATGCAAAGACGTCGACGAAGAGGAGAAACTGGAGGAGACTGAGAGGATGAGCGAGACATACAGAGAGAGACAGAGAGTAGGTCCTTCAATTCCGATTACCTTTTTTATCGATTTCGATTTCTGTATATTCGTTTGTGGCGACGTACGTGTGTGTGTGTGTGAGTGTATGCATGCAATAAATTGAAATATATTGTCCATCATTGTTAGTAAATTTTAAATATGAAAAACGTTAAAGAAAATGTTTGTGAGTGTGTGTGCGAAAATATTAGTTCAAGGTGAATCACATCACCGTTGATGTGATAATCTATTTATTTTTCGATTACGAATGATGACAGAACGTGTACGTGTAGATTATAATGTTTTTTTTTCTCCTTTGGCGCAGTGCAGCCAACACTGATTTATATTCACACAAAAACACTCACCTGAGCATTTCAGCTTTCGATGGGCTTTTGCTTGATGGTGTTGCTGATTTTGGTACTAATTTTGATGCGCCACCTGCTGCTGCCGCCACCGACGATGCGGCTGCTGCAAATTTATTTTGCGATTTTGACGCTAACTCAATGTGATTGTAATGATGACGTCGCGCATTTTTATCCAAACTTTTATTTTGCATTGAAGCATTCAACAATGTTGGCAACAGTGTAAAACCGGGCGGTCGTTTGTAGCTCGGCGATAACTTTTCAATACGGTCCACATGTATGCCCGTTTTATTGCGACGCAAATTTTTATGCACTTCTTGATTTAACATATGGAGCTGTAGCGAGGCCAAATCCAGACAACATACATACCACAGAAGTAAGGGGAGAAAAAGATCGAGAAAAAAAAGGAAGAAGGAAAACCAAACGAAAAAGAAAAGAAAGAAGAAAATTCAATTAAATCCAAAAATCAATGAACAAAAAATAACAAGTCGTCACGTCATGTGGACGGACATGGAACATTGATACGTTACACTTTGCGAAAATCCGATTAATTCGAGCTGTTGCTCCTGTACGGTTAATGGATTCCGTACTTCCATTTGCTGGTATTGCCCTTTTTTTCGCATATTGAGCTCGGCATTGCTGAGAAAATGCTGTAGTACCAAGTCGATTTCATGTGTGGTTAAGCCCAAATTCAGCAAATATTGTACGGCTTCGTTCTCATTTTTCATGACATTGAACGCATATTTGATCTTTTGCTCAATTTCCGGTAACCAACGTTTCATTCGAATTGTATGGCCACGATAATCTAATAGGGAAAATAGTTTTTTTTAGTGTTTTGCATTCTGACTTTGACATTGAGAGAAGCAATGAAACGAAACAGCTGAGAGAAAAAGAGATCCAATTAGACACAAATGCGAGGTTTGCACACTTACAGTTTTCAATGTTGTCAGCCTCTTTGTCACGACTCTCCGATATTATCTGCTGCTCTTGCATCTTTCCCAACACCTTCTTCTTCACCATCATCTTCTGCACCTGCTGCTGCATGCCTACGTGTTGGATAGAGGTAAAATGCACATTTGGTGAGAGGAAAGCGGTCACTTATGATTTTGTAGTAAGCTGACGGTTTGTAACTGGACTTGATTAACCCATTTTTACCAAGTGTTCAAAAAATCGAACATTTTGTATGGAAAATCCAGCGTTTGAAAGAAAATGGGTTAAGCAACACTGATTCGAAGTTGAAAGGCACACTTTCAAAGTCATGGAACGTCAGATTCGAAGTTGAATAATCGAAATGGAGTGATACTTTCCGAAAGAGACACATTTGAACTTAAACAGAATTTTTTGGTCAATTGACTGATGAAATATTTTAAATTTTGACCAGTAATCATCTTTTGACGACACCGAGGCGGTGCTATTTGAAGAGTTCATTGACATTTCTCGGGAAAAGCTTTCGGTAAAATGGGATTATTTCTTTCTATTTCCTTTTGATTGCTTCGATCCAATCCGTGGAAAACCTCAATTTTAAAGAAAATTTCAAGAATTTCATGCAGAATTGCAGAATTTTGAGAATTTACACGGACAATTTGAAAGTTTACACGCATAAATTTGGAAGTTTTGATCCAAATCTCGAAAATTTTGACAAAAAAATTGCAAATTCTAACCAAAATCTTGATGATTTTTAATCGAGAACTTGAAACTCCCATTGATTACATGAAAATCTTTATTTGATACTGACTGAGGTACTTGTACCGGTCAAACGCTGAGCTTTTTTCGTAAATCAATTGGCAAATCATTGAAAGTGTCTCTTTCTCCACTGACAACTCTCTTTTCGAAAACAAAATTTCAAGTCGAAAAAAAAAACATCCAAACTTACTGTCTCGTTCTTGGATTGATTGTCGTCGTTGTTCACGGCGTTGCTCTTCTTTTTGCCGTTGTTCCCATTCGGTGCGCATTTGTTGCAATCGTTTTCTTGTCAGCCAACCTCTAACATAACGTTGAACTGTCATTGCACTTCTTGCTATTCGCATTTTAGTGTGTCGATAATGTACACGAGCCAACCATCGTCGTACACATGACTGCACCAACACTATTTTCCTCAGTTGTTCTTCATACAATTTGGCCAAATGTTCGACGTGATAGTACTTGAGAAATACTGCAAAGAAGAAAAAGAACGAAACATTTCTCATTAATGCTAATGATTCATAGCATGCTTTAATTCTGTATATTGCGTTGTTACAACGAAAAGAATGAATTTTGATCATGCTCTCGACTTTGTCGCATCGGATGCTTAATTTTTTTCGTACAAGACTCTTGACTCTTGAGTTCGAGCTCATTTTTAGACTCAGCCATTCGTTCAATTCTCAAATATCACAGCTCGATTCCAAGAGTCAATAAATAAAAAAATAGAAGAAATAGCGAAGATGAGGAGAGCAATAGTCGTGGAATGGAAGAGTGAAAAAAGTCTGAGCTTCAAGCAAGAGAGGTACTCTAATTTAAAAGACTAACTGACAACGAAAAAAAATCAAGAAAACGAAGATGTTTTTTCGCCGATTGTAATTAATCCATTTTTGCTTACCTTTTGACTTGCCAAGTGCCCAACCGTCCATTTTAAGGCGAACCAACAATAATCGACAATTCTCTCTGCTTGCTGTAACTTTCTCATTGAAACCGAAAGCTAAGAAACAGTATCGTTTAAGAAAATCGGCAAATGTTAAACGATGACTGAACCCATTCTGTCGAATGCGAATCGTTTCCAAAACGCCAGCACAACGCAATTGCTTCAGCACTTTGGCCGAATCGAATTGTTTGGCCGTTTGTTTATCGTTTGGTTTGATGCAACGCACAAATTGCGGTGAACCGGCGACCATTTTCTGTAAGAGATCCATTAACGAATAGCGAAAGTATGTGGCAACCGTTTGCTGGGCACGTGATTGTGACGCCAAACCGCGTGAATTGAACGGTTCACGTGTATCAGTTTTTGCCGTTAAATTTGTCGCTTGAATGGCCGACGTGGATGTTTCTTGGAGGCCCGAACATAAATTGCCCGTTTTTCTGGAAGAGAAAGAAAAATTGGGTTTCATGATTCATGTTGATATGATAATATTTTGAGGTAAAATTCGCTTTTGACTGAGAAATACTTACGTGATTGGGCATTGGAATAGAAAGCGAACCATTTCAAAATTACTGCCCCGAATCAACTGAATCACTTCAGTTGGCAAAAAATTTCGATTTTTCTCCAAAAAATTCTCCGCTTGGTACACAACACGACCGGCAAAATGATGAATTGCAAAACAAATCGCATCTGATTTTGGACGAATGTAGAACTTGGATTTGATGTTGTTGTGACATTTTTCTAAAATAAAAAACATTCAGTTGATATCATTTTTTTTTTCAAAGTAAAAGAAGCGTTTAACCAAGATACTCACGTATGAATGATCGATCGGTAGCACGCGGAAAGCGACTTTCTTCATCTAATAAAGCCAGAAGACCAAGCGGACGACTTAGAAGCATATCTAGAACAGGTCGATTATCGGAGAATTCCACCAAATTTACAGGGATACCCTCAGCCAAATACTCCTGAGATTCAAAAAAATGAACGAAATATCAAACAATTGAACGGAAAAAACCCAAATTTAACGATCTTCATCAAGAAATTTGGACATTTTTTTTGAAAATTTTCGGGGATTTACGTGTGATTTCAAAATTTTTAGTGTGAAAATTAGAAATTATCTTTCAAATTTTACATTTTTTGGTTTATAAACAGAACTGAGACATTTTTTTAACGAAAATTTTAATTTTCAGACAAAAAATGCAGGTTTTAGTGAAAACTTTTCATTTAAAAAAGAATTTCCACGTGAAAAAATTGAATTTTCAAAACAAATGAATCATTTTCAAAGTGAAAATTGAATTTTCACAGATCAGAATTGAATTTTCAATGGAAATTTTTTGATTTTATTCAAGCAAATCTTTTCGAAAATGGCGAATTTTCAAAGAAAAAGCGATAAATTTGGCTTACTTGTTGTTCCCACGTGAAGATATGTTGATTAAAATAGTATTGAATTTGTTCGTTTGCAATGTTAATGCACAGTTGTTCGAATGAATTCTGTTGAAAATTCTCGAATCCAAAGATGTCGAGCAGTCCAATGGCCAGAATATCACTGTTGGGTCGATTAAAGCTCAACAGAGTATTAATTTGATTGACCATCCAATCAAACAGTCGACCATACAATGCTTTTGCCATGGCATCTCGTGCGGCTGCTGCTTCCGAAACCGTATTATTCCTAGTGATTGTTTCACCTTTGGTAACCACTGAATTTTTCGTAAGTGCATCCAACAAATTATTCACCTCAACACCAAGTAGCTTAGCGACACGATGCATTGGTGCCACATCAACTACCCGAGCTTTATTATCCGTATTATCATCTGTATCCATTTCGCCGAATTCTAAATCGCCCAAATTCAAAATTGCCGCCAGCACACGATTCACCGTATCGATTTCATCGTCACGAAAACCGAGCACTTTGAAACATGCCTTCAGCTGTTTCCATCGTTCAACATTCTTTTGCGGCGTTGAATTTTGTGTTTTCGACAGATAACGATGCTGTTCCCGATACATTGGATCCAAATAGTATGTGCTGAGCTTATTCTCATGCTCGAGCCCATCGTATAGATAGTAAAAAATGTGAAAATTCCCTTCATTGTTTGCCTGTTGAACGACACGACTTTGTTCTAGCAAATAAACTGATATCCGGGCACCAGTCACTTTGCCACTGCGTGTCATTGTCAAATCCAAATATTTACCAAAGCGTGAACTGTTGTCATTGATACCGGTGCGAGCATTGCCGAACGCCTCCATCAACGGATTCACCTGCAATATTCGCTCTTCAAGATTACGATTTGGCGCTTTACCCAGATACACTAATTGCTTAAGCAGCAGATTTCCGCTCTCCGTTTTGCCAGCAGCACTTTCACCGCTGATTACAATGGCTTGATTCTGTTTTTGATGCAACAATGCCTAACACAACACAAACGGGACAAACAACAATCGGTTAATGATTTCATTTGCATTTCTTATGACATTTATGTAATGAACACGTAAACAAGAGTGTCGAGACTCAGTCAGCAAGTTTAGATTGATTTTAGTGACTCTTTCAAATTGCTAATGAATAATTGGGTCAAGAATCATTTTCATTGCACTTGTGTTCGAGCTTAGAATGGAAACATTCAGGTGAAAAATGAATTTGATCAAAAATCCTGAAATGGACAAACCTGATGCGCAGCATCAGCTATCGCAAAAATGTGTGGTGAATTTTCGAAACGTGATCGACCGACATAACGCTTTTGATGCACTCCCGTGTAGAGGCCCAGGTTGGTAAACGGATTCACAGCAACAAGTATATCCCCGATGTAGGTATAAATCTGATTCGACTCAAATCGCTTTTGTAGCTGCTCCGTTATCACCTCCTCCGATAACACGTCAAGCGACGCTGTGGAAAATCAAAACGAAAGCAAATTTGAAACTCGATTTTTTTCTTCAACCAAGATAAAAGAGTAAAAACTCCTTTTTTTCTAGACGGCACTCGATACTTTGAATGAGAGTCGACTGGACTAATCAATGATTAGAAAAAATTATTCAAAATTAAGTCAAAACGTTCTCACTCACCTAAATCATCTATGTACATTTTCTGTGGTTTTGATTTGCGATCCGATTTCAATTGGCCGTGTTTGGTGGTGGCTTCAGCTTGACGACGCAACGCACCGTCGTTTCGTTGTCTTTGGATCTCTTGCTTCAGTTCGTGTCGTATGGCGTCCGTTTTTCCAGCAATTCGTGTGAAAAACGGATGCTGAATTAGTTGCTTTGCAAATGGCCGCTTTTCCATGTCTTTTATCAGACACTCCGATACGAATCGGCACAGTTCCACAGTGAACTGTTCCGGTTTTGATAAATGTGCTGAAATTTGTGAAGAAAATATAAAACGTTTTATTTCGAATTTTTACTTTTTGGCTTTTCGAGTGATTCTCTGCACTCTGTATCTAGAATTAAAAATGAGACGACTTTTCGTCTGGAACAATTTGTATATTTGAAAAATTGCAGTTTGCTTTGAAATTGAAACAGGTAAGACACTTGAAATAGACATGATTCTGAATATTTTTTCTGATTCTCTTTTTCAAAAATCAAAGTAGCCTCCGCCACATAGATTGATTTTTCGTTTCGAATTTCTTCGAATAGACTATAGTCAATTCTATTATGGTCTGTCTCTAACTGACCGTAAAGCAATCGAAACAAACCTATTTTCGATCACCAATGGATTTAATGAATAAAGCAAAAAACGACCGTTTTAAACAAGAAAAACATGTTCATTTTTTGAAAATGGAAACTTACGTGGTGGATTGCGTGGTATTTGAAACAGAGCTCGCATCGGATGGATATCGGATAGTGGGGGATCACCTTCAGCCAACTCGATTGCTGTTGAAATGATGACAAAAATGCGTTAAATCTATTCGTGCAATTGAACTTTCGAATTAAGTACAACTTTGCAATGGATTCGACTTGATTAAAATGATTCGAAAGGAGTTTAAGCCTGAAAATTTACTTGAACACTGGTTTTTGTCCTTCATCATTCTGTGCTAATCTCTTCAAAAGTGGCAAATGACCAAAATTGGAATATTCATGCGAAAAAAACAAACCTGTGATTCCAATTGACCACACATCGCATCGAGAATCGTACGATTGATCAAGTTGTTGTTCACAAGCAATGACTTCAGGAGCCATCCAATACGGTGTACCGACACTTGTATTCCGGCGCGCCATCGTCGCTGCCAAATGTGAACTCACACCAAAATCTACTAGTTTCACGTACGCCTCATCAGTCAACAGGATATTGTGGCCTTTAATATCTCTGTAACGCAACAAAGAAATATTATTTAAATATGCAGAAAAAATGCAAAGATTATTCTCAAGAAATTATATCATTTCTGTAGTTGAAATGGATAAATAGGTGATTCAGTAGACTGTGTGGTTTTTCTACTGTCGATTTTTTCTTAAATAGTTCAAATCGAGCAACAAACTCGTTCAAGCCAAGTGGGCTCTTAATAGATTTAACGGATTCAATGGTAAAAGAGCACCGGTCAAATATTTAGCCCGATGCTTATTTCGTTTACCTGTGCATACAATGATTCTCGTGCAGATGAATGAGTCCTTTTAGAGTTTCGAGTAAAATGTATGCGATGTGATCCTCTTTCAAGCGCTCGGTTCGACTTCGGAGTCCTTGTACCAAATCCGTCACTGAACCGCCCGTGCATAGCTAGATGGATATTAAAATTTGAGTTGATTACTAGGGGTATTTATGTCAGTTGAATCTATCGAATTTGATCATTCCATTGCGATTTTGTTACGAATTCGCACATTCTATGCGAATTCTTTACGAATTGTTCACATTCTTTGCTTTGTCACTGCGAATGACAACTTTTTCTATTTCTCATTTTATTCTTTTCATTTCCATTTTTTAGTTCACGATCAAAATAAGTGTTCCGTCACAATTTCCTAGACTAAACTTCCAAATCATCACCTACCTCCATTACAAACCATAGCTGATCATCTTCAAAGCACACGCCTTTTCTTAGAAAGATACCAACGAATGTGGGTAAATTTGGATGTTGCGACAAGTCACGTAAAACTAAATATTCTTCTTCGATCTCCTCTAAATTATCTGTAATTGACTCGAGTATTTTGATCGCCACTTTTTTACCGGTCGATCGATCCACTGCACTGTACACCTCACCATATGTTCCTGTGAAAATGTAAACGAATTTTTTTAGTTCGAATTTTTCTTTGTTTTGGAAGATGAAAGAAAGTTTGCTAAAGGTTGATATTCAACAAATGCGAAAGTTATTTCGGTTCTTAGCCATAATTTGGTTACATACACTTGTGCAAGAATATTTACAACTAGTAATTTTTATAGTGGAACGAATGTTTAAATAAGAGATCTATTACACGGGCACCTCACAGTGCCAATTCCTTCAATCGTTTTTTGAATGCCCAGCTTCAAGGAGATTGATTCTGTGCAGATTTTTTAAATGCTTTCAAGTCCGAAATTTGTCCGCGATACTTCGAGCGAGAAAAGTGGCTATGGATCATTGAATAATATACGGAGATTTTTTGCTTTCGGTTTGATCTAGTGATCAATACGCTTCATGACTGACGAAAAAACCGATAACTTTACGACTAATTGAATTATTGTGAAATTTTAATGCGTTGATCATGAGTTCAGATTGGATTTTTTTGGTATAAAAAAGGAATAAACTCTGAAGATTTTGGAGTCTAAAGCTCACCTTAAAGTTTTCAATTAAGAAAAATCAAAAGAACAAAATCTCGACCAAAAAATGTTGAATTTCAGATTTTTACCGTTCAAAATGCGCTTGAATTTAAATTTAAATGAAATTAATGATAAAAATACCGTTTTTTTAATATCTCCAAATAAAAACATTGACCGATGGATCAATCTAGCCACTAGAAATTGATAGCGTTTCTTCAATCAATGATTGAATTGTTCATCAATCATAAATTGAAGTGAAAATCCATAAAGAAGCAAAAAAATTGCAAATAAACCCAAGGGAGGTTGGAATTTAACAAGTCATAAATGAAACACTATTTCTAGCTTAACATAAAATAACACACAATTTTAACTTGAAAGAAAAAGAGCATGTAAAGAAAAAAAAATTACCTTCGCCTATTAAATCACATAAATCGAATCGATCGCCGGGTGATGGCAACCGCGCAAAATTTATTTGCTGCGATAGTCCAACGTAAGCAGCCATTTTTGCGTGACATTAAATTTACTGGAAATTAAATGCAAAACCAAAAGTTATTATCGTCTTGCAAAAAAAAACAACACACACGCACACAAACAAATTGTTGATCGATTTGCAATTAAATCGTCATGCATACTGTTCGTGGAAACGGCAAAAAAAACTGAAGATTTCAAACTGATAGCAAATTTTGATAGGGGAATAACGCTTTTTTTTGGAGTAAACAAAATTTTTAACATTTTTTGTTTTAATTAATCAGATTTAATTTGAAACCAATTTGGATACACCAAGCGTGGAAAAACCGTTTATCGTCAGAATTTATAGCTTGCATTGACATTTTCTTTCTTTTCTGCGTCTTCTTTGTTTCTTTTCTACATCTTCTCTGTCTTGTTAAGTTGAATTAGAACTTCTTCTTCGAATTTAGTTACATTTTTCGACACTTATCAATTATTTTCTCTTTCTAAGTCAGTATTTCTGCCTCTAAATACATCTACCGGATATTTGTCGACCAATTAAAAAAAAAGAAAATCTTCCTTTTGTTTTGGTCAACTTGGTTGCTGATTTTGAGTGAAATGTGTCTGTTTGTGCATTTCATTCGAATCGTCACAGAAAACTTTCTGTTTTTCTTTCTTTTCACTTCAAAAGCATACACTTTACTTTAAGTTGGATGATTGTTTTGCAATATGTTGAATATTTTTGCATAAGCCGCTCAGTAATTACGGTGTTATCGATGAAAAGCCGAATATTGAACGAGCGCACCAAATGTTCAATGTCATAATTGTGCGTTGTGGCTGTTTGAATAGGCGGATTTGGTCGAAAATTATATACATGTTATAAGAAACTGGTGGCGAATGTAGAGCACGCAAGTTCACTTCCGTCGAAACGTGCTGAAAATGTAAAGTGTCGATGACTAGTCGAAATATATGCGATGGCATTCATTTGCCTTTTCACTTGTCGTTTCTTCAAGTAACGCCTCAATTACGATTTCCTGTTGGATGCTCTTTTTCTATTTCACTGCACTCGCCCCGAAAAAAGAGAGAAATGAATAAGCACAAAAAACCATCGGCTATTCGAATTTTGATGTACAGAGAAATATCTGATTATTGTTTTAAAAAGCGACAAATACTATCAGAAAACAACACAACGAACGTAATCCAATTTGTTCGACTTCACACGTATTCAATGGAACCGAATATTAAGAATTAGTAGCGAACATTTGTTTTTTGTACTTCATCAGAGCGTTTGGTTTTGTTGCCAATATACACACGTGCAAAATACCCGCGCCACCCATTTCAAAATGCTCGCGCCTCACACCTTGGCCGTTACATATCGGTTGTGCTTCATTTATTCCCTCAAATCGATTTCAATTCGTCGTAATCAACACACTCTCGGAAGAAAGAAAAATAAACTCAAACTTTTCCTACTTCGAACGGAATAAACACATAACAATCCATTTGGCCAAAGTTTGATTTTCTCAAAACGGAAAGTTTGGCCCTTTTTACGCAAAAACTTTGATCTTGGTTAACTATTGGTGTTGGTTTTTTTTTATTCAACTATTATCTTCGCGATTGAACATTTTTTCGATTGAACTATTTGTTTTTATCAGTTGAAGAAACTCGAGAAATCGACACGTAACAAGAGAGTAGAGTGATTTTTCACACTTCTTCTGCTTCTTTTTCTTCTTCAGAGAAAGAGAGATGAGTTTTGCGTAGCGCTTTCTTACTTACGAACAAACCGCCAATTAAATTTCATTCTTGTCGAGCGAGACCCGCTTTTGGTGTGCCAATGGTACATTTGATATGCCAATGTCATTTTCATCGAATGAATCACATTCGCTTAAGTGGAAAAAATTGAGCTTTCAATTTATTATTACTATGATTGATCAAAATTATAGCAAATTCAACGAATGACTTGACGAGACATTTGTTTTTCCTTTGTTCAAAACGATAGTTTTGTCATTTTAATTAAGAACACATTTAATTGCAACGGTAAATCGATTCGACGCACCCGTTTGCTTACACATTTTTTATTAAATTTATTTCATTGGTTTCAAATTGAAACTTTCAATAGAGAGAAATCGAGTTTCGTTGGTTTTTTTTTTACATTTCTTGTTTTTTTGTCGGAATTTCTTCAGTATTTTAGTCATTTCGCTTGAGACCGGTTCATTTGGACTGATTTTCGGCATCGGTTCGCCTTTAACTTTTCTATTAAGTCCTACTTTTCAGTTTACAACTCAAGAGATTCAACGATTTTTCATCGACTCAACGACTTTTTATCGGTTCCACTAAAAATAGCAACTTTATTCAATTCAAATGGAACCATTTCGAACAGCAACGACATAATTGAATGTTTTAGTTTTCGAAGATATTTCGTATGTTGTCAAATACCTTGAAAGAATGAGCTGAATCTTAGAAAAATGAAGAAATTCAGAAAAAAGGAAGAAATTGAATTCCAAAGAATGAAAAAAAATGTGTTCAAGTTTTCTGTTCAAATAATTGTCAATTTGAATAACCAAATGACTCAAATCGACAAATGATTCATTTGAAATGAACCAAAGGTACCCACTATAAAATTTGACACTGTTAAAACATATATGGGACTCCCATATTATGGGTCATGTGAAACAATTACAAAGCGACTATGTCACAAATTGAATCTAAAAATTGTCTAGATAAAAAACATTGGAGTTATAAGATATGGGCTCAAAATTACGCCATCCATTTCATACTTTGCTCTACAAACTGCATTTTTTCCTGGCTTTAATGCATATTTTAGCTTTGCGAAACACATATTGCGAAAAAAATGCATTTAATTCCATAATTCAAAGTTTATTTCCCACCCAACAGTTTTGTAACCGTTTAAATGTGCCATGCAATGCAGTGCATGCACTCGATTTGATCGATAGTTTAAAAAATTCGATTTCAGTCACAATAAACCGAATTCCGCACGCAATCCGCCAAATCTGTTGGTAATCGGTTGAAAAATCGATGCTAAGCCCGGTATTAAGCTCGATAATCCCGTGAAAGTTACATAAATTTCGCAAACAGATTTGTTTATCCGCTGTGAATGATTAATCCGATGTGGCATATGCAGGCTATACGGTCGGATCAGCGGGAGATTTTTCCATGATATTAGCCACGACGAATGAGTTCCGGTATGTTGGCCGAAAAGACAATAACACACAGTTAGTCGAAATTCGAAGGGACAATTACAATATGACGATAGCCATCGATGAACATACATCGCGAAAGAGATCTCTTTTATAACCATCTTTTTTTTCTTCAATTATTCGCTCAATGAAAAGCGTCGGTTTTTCATTTGCGTTTTGACAATGGCAACGGATTTCAATTATCTCTTTACATTTCGTAGCCATCCGTTACAATGCACGGCTGTTTTTTTTCTTAGTTACATTCTCATGTATTCGCCAATCTCTCGATTCGTTAGGCTCATCTGCAGAGTAACATTGTGCTGCTTATTGTTTTGCATGTGTCCATTTTGGCGCATTCTTCTTCGCGTTATGAGCAAAATATGGAAAAAGTCATAGTGAACGAGCAAAAGAGCGATTGAACGATAGACAGAGAACGAACGAGCGAGCGAGAGAGAGAGAGAGAGAAATATGGACGATGTGCTTGTCAATTATGTATTATTTTTCGTTTCTATGCTCGTAAATACCAATTGCAATGCATTTTTCTGCGATTGATTCGACATTCACGTCGAAAATTTCCATTTTCCTTTCCATCGCTCACTCGCTCGTCTTCGCTCGATGCTGTTTTTCTCACTTCATATGCATACAATTGCACATTCATCTTTTGAACGGGCCGAATTCAATGGCGAAAAAAAACCGAAGAAACACACGTATGCATCAATTCTCTCTTATTTCAACGAGAGGTTCAATGTTTCATCGTCTTTTTTTCGCTGCGTTGCTGAAACTGTTTGTTTTTTTCTCCCTTCATTTCACATGCATTTGATGGTGACGCCACTCAATTACATTTTCCTTTTTTTTTTACAATTTTTTCGGTTATTTAACACAATGTTTTTTTCTTTTCTTTTTTCTTGAAGATTTTTTCTCACTGTTTTCAAAGATATTTCTTCTCGTTCGCTCTCTGTCGATGAAACTCTTCGATTAAAAAAAATGTGTTTTTCTTGGGTAGTTATTAAAAAAGCGTTGTGAATCGAAAAATGTTTTATTTTGATTTTTCATTCGCGTACTTATTGCTTCTCTCTCTCTCTGTTTCTAGTGTTTTTGACTCGTTCGAGAAGCGAGCATGAGGTTGCGTTGACTTAAATATGTGAAACACGCGATTTAATCGTTTTATCGAAGATTAAACGCGAAAATTAGAGACAAAAACACACACACACACACTCGATCCAATTAAATGAAGCAGCTTCGGTTTGCATCCAAAATTCGATTGACGATCATTCAAAACAAATTACTCACATGAACAAACACAGAACACACACTCACTCACTCACTTACACATCGATCAAATTATCACGCATTCAAAAGTATGTTTTCACATTTGATGATTATTTCCTAGAGTTTAATTCTCCGTTAGTTTTTTTTTGCTGCTTCTTCTCAAAGCTGATCACTGATGCACGCAAACACACGTGCGTTGCAGCAGTTCGTGCGCGACACGAAATCAAGTAATTTTTGTTACCATGTGTTTATTATTTGTTGTACGTCTTCTCACTTCGGCCACTTAATTCACTTTCTTACTAGCTACTACAGCGGCTCGAGACCGTTTTGTTGCCGGACCAATTGTTGCCGAACACTAAAACGCACAAACAACGTTGCGCGCTCTTGTCAATTTTCACCGCTGTGTCACGCTGGAAATTCAATTAAAACCAAATACTTAATTTGACGATGGCTGTGAGTGTGTGTTCTTGGAGGTCTTTCAACCAAGGATTTTCGACTCACAATAGTGAGAGCAGGCGCGCAAATTTCGCTTTTCACTCGCTCCAGACACAAAAACGCTAAATGACTTTGGATTTTTTTTTCTCCATCGGTCTCTCTTTCGCTCTTGTTTTGC